CTTAACGAGGTCTTGATCCAAAATTCAGGGAGGGACAAAGCGTCCACTGTGTTGTTCCTCTCTCGCTGAGTATTTTACAAATGAGGAAGCGCGAAGAGAGAAGGCAGATGTCCCATTGTCAACAAGCCATGACATTGCCGAGCCCAGCAATCGCGGCCGTCGCGCGCGATGGCTTACGGACACAACTTTCGGGAACTTACACTACTTTCCTAACGTTTCAGTACTTCACACCTGTAGGGTTCCAAATTTGAAATACTGGTCAGGTCTGAAGTCTCCTGAAGATATCTGAAAGCCTAAGGGTAGTAGTAAATGGCACATTGCCAACTTGGGAATAGGTGGGAAGGAGCTTTGATCTAAAAGAAAAACGTGCAAAGCGTGTCACTCCCCTGTTGCTTGGAAAAAAGTGTACGGTAAACGAAGCACTCAAAATATTCCCTTTATCCTGTTTTTTGGTTCACCTCGATAAATTGTGGCGATATACAAGAACTTTCGAGCTTTTTTTCTCTGTACGAGCCGGGGGGGGGGCCGCTACGTTCTTTGGAAGTGCGGCTGCAGAAAATGCAGCATTGCGCTAGCCGCGCATTCGCACCAGGAACGTTCGATGCACAAGGTCTACTCAAATCGAGTCAACTAGCCAGCTAATGAAGATGTGAAACCCTTCGACACCCTCCTTCAATGTAAGCAGCTTACGCGTGAAAGCACTGCCGCGGCTCAATTGGCTGGCCACTCAAAGGCGTTGGCTCGAGCCATCGGACATGAAGACGACTTCCGCAAAACTGTGAACATCAGAGAGCATATCCCATTCCCCATACGCACCACATCATCAGAAAATCTCAGCAATGGCAGATGGTCAGGAAATCTATGATATGCGGTGATTGCTGATAATTTCTACATGCTAGTTGAACCTCGGACACTACCGCTAAGCACTTTCACGTTAATCAATTAGGTCATGTTGCGGATGCCGCGCACATGACGCTGACGCCATCTGCTACCCGCTCCGATCAATATCTGTTTAGGCACTTGATCGTTTACAATATAACTGTAAATCACATCAGATACACAATAATAATTATGCTTTATTTACTGCCCAATTTGTCATGACAATTATTAGCATTTACAGAATTTTATTCTACAAAGTGATGTACATGACAAACCGGGAAGAGACGGACTGACAGACAGACAAGCACACATGCTAGCGGGGGGAATAGAAATCTCCGGGACCGATTTTTCGGTCAAATCGATAAACGGAGAGGGGGGGGACTTATGACTCGTACGAAATCTTATACGATGATATTACAATGTCATTTAGAATGTGATTTGATAGTTGATGATACTTAACAATAACGGCTCATTTGATTTGAAACAGACGTACAGACAGCCGATTGTGAATTCTTGTGAAGAAGAACAGACGACCTTGAAGTACAGGAAAAGGGGTGGAGCCATAATTCAAAATAAAGAATTTAAAAATTTCTGAGAAAATTCACAAAAAATCGACCGATAATAATCACACTGCTTGCTAGCGTTCAAATGCTATATCATTTCTATCACATATCATAACATGCGCCATCGTAAATAGAACCGCTTTCACCGTCTGGCCATCTCATTAGAGCATACACTCGAGAATAGATATTGATTTTACGCGCGCGCGATCAATATTGATTTTCCACCGGTTTACGCAATAACAAGATGGTTCGACGTGTTCAAAGCTATAATTAATTATATATAGTTATTATTTTAGCCTTTAAGCATATAATATCACAATGTACAGTTATTAGTTATAAATGTATCGGTATAAATAATATATACCACAACATGCTTAACACTTACTCGATCAGAAAAAAACATTAAAAAATAGAAATAATTAAATAAATGTATAGAAATGCCTACAGTAATAAAAAATTCGAAAATATGCTACCGTAATTACTGAATATTACAGAATTATTTTTTGAATATAAGTATGAGCAAATATAACGGGAGCAATTTGTTCTTAAATGAAAGACGCTTACCCGTCAACGGAAGGTAGGGGGTAGGGGTGGGGGAGGGGTTCGAGGTCGACAGTGACCCCGTGAGAACCTCGAGCCAATGCGGACATTTTTTTTCTTGGAAACTGGTTAAATAATTATAAAAGGCATTGACTCAGGTGTCCTCAGTTACAGGAGTACAGAGGGGGTGTTATCAGGGGCCAGTGGGGCAAGGGCATTAACCGGGAAGAATGTGAGTGCAATAGAGGGGGAAAGAGTGTTAGTTAAGTTCATAGAATATTATCGTATTACAAAGTGTCGTAGACAACCGAGATGGTACTGTAACATGACGTCATCGCAATTTGGAAACCACTGATGGCAGAAGTTCCATTTCCGATTTCCGACGCCCATCGCCCGATCTACCATAACTCCAGTGTTTTGGCCAGATCCTGCGCGATATGATCGAATCCGACCGTCAGATTGAACAAGTCGAAATCACGATCGTCATCGGTTAGATTCAGATGAAGCGACGACGATGATACCGTCGAGAATGGCGACGCACCGGACGGTGTCGAACCACCGGACACGTAACCGCACGAACTTCGAGCTGGGGTGGACAACTCGTCCCAGGAACCTGGAACAAAGTGACAGTTGTCCGTGAGTTAGGCAGCTAAGACTTTAGACTCAACAAAAGAAAAAGCAGCCTACCTTTACCGCCCGTGAGCGTCGTGACCGCGTCGACCGGACTCGGCGTGCGGAACTCGTCCGTCTTTTCTCTAAAGAACGTCGATGGTTCCAACGGCCAACTTGGATGTGGGCGTAGTTGCGTTCAGAGTTTGACTGTTAGCGCCAAACAAACCACCACCATTGCCAAAATTTGCATTTCGACCACATGGTGTCGTCAAAGGTGTGGCGTTGGTGCGTGGTGGAAATGCTGCTGGTAGTGGTGGAGGTGGGGTGGCGTAGGATATGCTGCAGTACTGGATGCCGGTTGTCCGGGTAGATGACCGACATTTGGTGGCAGTCCGGCACGCTGCCTGCAATCCATAGAATGCCAAGAGATGCATGTCATTGCTACACGCATACGTCGTGAAACCTGAAAAAAATTACCCGTAGATTGCGTTGTTCTTGTTATTTGTGCAAATGCACAATTCTTGACAGCTCAAGCTATAGTCTAGTTCGCTGCAGTATGGTCTAGTTTCGCGAAGGGGCGTGTCTGGGGAGCGACACGACGCTTGACGCGTTGCCAAACCTGCCCCCAGTAGCTGAAGCGAGTAAGTGACAAGACTATTATATCGTTCGTATCACTCGTTTTCTAGCAATTATAGTCGCATACCCGCTTCAGCAACTGGCAGAGAACGGGTTCGCCGCCGTCGCGCACTTAATACTGCCTTAACACGGGCCCCTTCAACGCAGCGAACTAGAGTATACAGTCATTCTCATCTACTCTCTAGGTCATCTGAAAGGAAATTAGGATGTTTGAAATCAGCTTTCTCTCCTTCCCTGGTGCTCACACCGCGCAGCGCCCACTGCTTCGATTTCAGGGCGGAAACATCCACTGAGAAGGTGGGTGGAGTTGTTCGAGGATTCTAGGCCCTTAGCGCTTTTGCTTCTGAGCCGCAAAATGGAAGATGAATTTGCGCCTACAGCTTAATCTCTTAACTTGCGAAGATTGTTTCAATCCTTTCAGTTAGGAACAGTACACGTTGTACGCGGGAATTCACTGCCGGGAGTCATATCTGGTCGCTGGAGGGAAGGGGCCGTATTTCTGATAGCTGACTATTTTTGCTTTACGGGCGCTATCGGCGCCATTGAGATACCACCGCTTAGGACTTCGTATTTGCTCACGCTTTGAGGACCGGGTCGTTCTTGGTCATGGGGAGAAACTGGAGAATTTGTGGAAAATTAGGAAGTCGGAAAAGGTCAGTAAGATGGAGGTGGGATGGGAAGGGAGGTCGCACTAGGTGACGATACCCGGACGGATTCACCTTTCTAGGAGGATGGATACCAGAAGGAGACACTTTGAGGGGGGTACCGTTTTGCAAAAATTCCCATTACGACAGGACGAGCCCTGTAATTTGTGAGCTAGCATGCCAACGGTGGAAATCCCAGTTGTAGCATAATCGCGATGGCGGGATATTTTCCTTATGGTAATCAACTTTCTTATTATTTTGCCAACCTATTGCGTTGGGAGGGCGCGCTAATTAAGACCACGAGTGGTTGGGGGGGGGTTATCCCGCCACCAAGCTGTCACGAAATGTGTTCTCAGCTGAAAGCCATCGGCCAATTTATCCCAGTGCCAACTCGCGATAATTTTTTTGCCGCTGGTATATCTCGTCGCCCACTTTCTTACGGCTCCCATTTGAGCCAATCAGATTTATCTTTTTTTTCGGATCAAATCGATGCTTACCTCTACAAGTTTGTCAGGTCTGATGTAGGCATTAGTTCCATGATCAGGATGAATGAATAGACAACGATCACCATAAGGACATAAGCCTGTCGTGGTATATTTATCGCAGAGTTTCGTCTTATATTTGTTGATTTGACATGGCACCGACCTGAAATTCTATATTTTTGGTGAAAAAAATCATATTCAAGGCAAAACACTCTTCGCACTCACACACTATATTGAGCTATATATTTTGGCGCATTGTCATAACTTTAGAATCCCGCACAACGACGTCAAAGTGACGTAATCCATCACCCCACCCCCCTTCACATCTGCTACATCCGTTTTACAACTAGTTCACGTGAGAAGCTTTAATGATACTTTTGGCGAACCCAAAACACACTGCAATCAGAGAGAGCTGTAACGGCTGGCCACTGAAAGAACTGTCTATCGCTCTCTTTACATTGGAGCGCCGCGCCCCTCAGATTCTTTACACAAGTCAGCTTGTGGCTTGAAGGGTTGCAGTTCAAGCATCCGCGCCTACAACAGCCACGTGAACAAATATGATGACGTCTTTAGCATTGATCAATGACTTTTTAAGTGACGCCCAACAACTCTGCTTGTACTTCAGGGCCGTAGTGCCCTGCTTGGAAGCGCTTTGGTCACCATTAGCGATTGATAGCGCGCCACTTGCTACCAGATGAGCGTCTTCAGGTAAGGTGCAGGAGGAAAGGTGACTTCTAGTCTTCCTAAGCGTGTCTGCTGTCAGTTGATCGGGATAAAAGCTCAGTTTGCCAGATTCGGTGCAGAATTTGATCTGTCGTCCCAGCGCGTGACAAACGCGTGGGGTTCCCTTTGCACCATCGCCATCGTGCTGCTGCCGTACTGCGTAGAAAACGGCAAATACCAACCCATTCCTGGATGATTATATAGGCGGAGACGGCCCATTATTAAACCTTCTGGAACAGTGCGCTCCTTTCTCTAAGGCCGGGAAGAGGCACCGCTAAATAAAGAGGACAGAGTAATCGCTGTCTCCACCCATATGGTCACCGTGGAATGTCTTGTACTAAGCTAACAATACCTCTAGCCTCTGTACTGAAGATGAATGCATGGCGCATCCCAAACGAATCGATCAATGCCGAATGTTTCATCATTGTTACATCAAGTGAAGGAACGATTAATTGTCCTTTTTTCACAACCAAATTGCTCATTGATATCTATCAAAACTGAGACCCCCTAGCCAGCTGTAAATAACAGCGGCTACCGTAACCGCAGAGAAGTGAGCTGCGACTTTTTTCCGAATTGATTTATTGCTTAACGTGACAGAAACCAAACAATTCTTTTTACTATGTTTTTAGACCTTGAACGTTATCACACAGCCTTAGCCTGCAACGAGTATCCGGCCATGCACGTACAGCAGCAGAAAAAAATTTCCCATGTGGCCCTGGGGCTGGGCGGATTCTCTGGGGTGACTTTTTTCACTTTTCCCGAAAAGGACGCTGAATGGGCCTGCGGAATTTTCCTCAAGAATATCCTTCACTCAAGTTCAGTTGAGGGTGAGGGGGCATACTCGCTGCAGAATAGATTCGCACGTCATCCACACTCTCACCAGAAGCTAAAACAGCGGCTACTTCTACTCTCACTCACTTCAAGAAATCCTCCATGATCGGTACTCGCCTTCACGAGGAGACAAAGACGGTGACATAAACCAGGCCTCAACAAAACCCCACCAAAAACTTGGAAGGTGACCCCAACTTAACCTAAACCCCTATCAACGCTGACGCCTTTGATCAATCAACGTGCGATTAGACGTATTTAATTGGGAAAACTGGAAAACGATTGTCAGAACGCTATTGCGGTGACGGAAAAACCCCCAGCAGCAGCAGCAGCGGCAGCAAAGGACGATGACCGTTTCTTCTACCAACGATAGACTACACGCGAATGCTTGACAGCTAGCCATTGCACTTCCAGAGGTTTCTTCTACACACTGCTTAGTCCACACCAGCAAGGGCAAGTCAACGATCAAGACGTTATCAGCATATCAGAGAGAGTCCGCTTACAGCACATGCCACTCACCCAAGAAGAAATTCAGAACTGTAGGAAGTTTAATGGGAGATACCTAAAAACTAATTCCTCCCAGCGATCACAATCCCTCTAGATGTAGACTGACAAAAAGCTACTCAGAAGCGGTTATTACCTTCTAGATGACAGCTCTCCAAGATGGAATGGGCTATGACTCCCGACAGAATCCCCTCCCGCGCCGTGAGCGGGGTACTTGCTTTGCCACGCGGGAAATTTTTGGATTGCGACTCGACCCCCCCCCCCCCCAATTGTAATGGCACTTTGAATCACCTGTACAGTGGCTTGCGGGGATAGCTGAGGTACAATTCGGTGATGTGTCCTCCCAATCAATGTGGTACCAAGGGATCTAACCCAGAGGGCTGGAGGCATATACGTGAAGCTTACCTGGAATTTGATCACCAGACAGCGCTCTGGCGCTTCTGCGCGCTTCTTGCACACACTAAGCCTCAAACGTTTTTTTTCAGGAGGAGGATAGGATGGGAGTTCAGGTCATTTTCCTCAACCTAGGCTTGAAAAATGATCCAAACTCCTACAGCGACTGCTGATGACTGTGAATCCCCACAGCCGTCCCAGGCAACTTTCTCTAAATATTGGGAGGGAATCCATCATCCTACGGGTGGTCTACCACATGTTTCAGCGAAAACCTAATTAATCAAGGTAATGAGGAGAGAAAATGACCATCCAAACAAAGGGAAAACATGGCTGGTTCCGCTTTCTAGGCCTTCCAAAAAGCCTTGCAACACGCTTCGGCAGGGCATTTCATGTTTAGGAAACGAGCAGGATTGCAGTTTCATCGTCGATTCGAGAGCAAAGAGGAGGGGGAAGTTTGGCTTAATGGGAAGGGGGGGGGACAGTATGGGGAGAGGGAGTAGTACTGGGAGAAGTAATTTTGGGGGAAAGTTGGTACCGATACCGTTTTTCATTTATACCGATGTTGGGTATAATTCAGCTTGGTGGGGCGTACGCCGAATGGTACTCACAATTAGTGTAGTTTCTGCAGATTACCTGTTAAAGTTTGAAAAACGAAAATGCCCTTCCCAAGCCAAAAGGAGACGGAGAGAGTTGGTCACATTCAGCCTGCTGAGATGATTTTGTATCAACAGGCAGAAGAACGCGAGGATGAGTACTTTGAATTTCCCGTTTCAGATAGCAGCTATTTATCTACCATCGTGCGACACCATGATTTGATGACATCCCTTACTTCTCCTTCTCCCGGAAAGGTAGTCTAAAGGAATTTTTTGCGGAAATGTTTCCCTTTCTTGGCGTATTCACAGAGCGGTAAGAATACTGGAAAATATAAGCCCACTCAAGCCCAGGCGCACATCGTGTTGGGGATTCCCAAGAGAGGGTCGTCACCTTGGTCGCTGGAGAGAGGGGGCGGGGTCTACCTAGGCTGAGAAAAATTTTTTTGATAGTTGATTGTTTCGCGGGCGTTGATTGGAGCAGGACAGGTCGTAGTTCGTTCGGTCTACTCTGGAAGGCGGGGTTCGTATTCCCTTCTGAAGAAAGTTGCGTGACCTTTCGTGACTTTCCTGTTTCATGTGCAGTGTATACCCCCCCTCCTCCGACAGGTAGATGAGGAGAACCAGGGGGGGGGGGGATCGACCAAAAGTCCCAAACTATGACTGCTGCCCTGAGTGAAGGCATCTTAAACACAATGGAACTATTTTCGCCCATGTCTTGGTCCGTTCGAGCGCTACATAGTTTGACAATGTTCCCCTACCCGGCAACCATATTCTCCGCCCCTCTAGGAGGGCCCAAACAAAATTATCAATGCGCGCCACTAGTTCAAATGTACTCAAGGTACATTGTACTAATGTCCCAGGCGCTAGAATGCACGTTTCAGATGAAACTCCAGAACAGCACAGCATAACAAAAAGTGCGTGCCCCAATCGGCTTAGTCAGTTAAAAAAAGACCCCTTCTAGCACAATTAGCGATCACAAAACCCAGTTCCCAATTATTTACCACAACACTCACGGGCTGTGAGGCCTCAGCGGGCCAACATTAAGTCCGTCTAGTTCAGCAGTAGAGGACATAACTGCCTGCACTGAAAAGTGCCTATTGAGTGAACTATTGCGTTTTCCATCGGTAGCCTCTGCTTGTGAAAAGACTCGAACTGGACTGGGACGCGAGCGTACGCGTGGGCCTCTCTCGCAGAACTTTGCAGGGACGCTTCTTTCAGGCTGGGTAATCCTGTCTTCAGTACTTCAGACTGAAATAATTCCTAGCCCCACCCCGCAGCGACCTGCCTTGCTAATTCAGGTACATTTCAACCTTTTATCTTTCTGGTTTAAAACTCGACCCAGATTAGAGTGCGACGATGAGGCTGAATGACCCTTCCATATCTTAAAAATTAGGCCTCGAGAAAAAAAAAACCGGAGTCCACAGCACGCCCGCCATGCGGACCAGAGCCCCTCCCAGTTGGGGGAGAGGACACCGCTATGTGCCCCTCCCCCTAAGTAGACACCCAACCGCTAAGAAGGCGGCCGAAATAAAGAATGTAGCGGTAATTCTGTTAAATGCCCTTTTAGTGATTTCCCTATTTTTCTATGGTTTCGTTCCACCCCCGACTCGGCTTCTGACACTTGAGGTTATTATTATATTATTAAATATTAACTCACACACCACACATCAGTAATTAGCTTAGTTCACAATGCGAGATATTTATGAGATTCAGTAGGAAAAAAACGAAAAAACAAAAATCAATACCGTACCTCACAGGTCGAAGTTCAGCTTCACCGTGTGCAAATCGACAATTCTCGCCAAATGCACACATTTTCGATTCAAGCCAAGCCTGACACATCACTGTCTTGTACGAATCTGGATTCGCCGCTTTTTTACCGGTCGCTGAGCGACCATTATGCCTGAATAAGACACCCATAAATCACTGTGATCAGAGAAGCAGCAAGGGATACTGGTATGGAATAATAGCGTTAATATGAGTTTCAAAATAAAACTGAGTACGTTTTTTACTTTGCTTTTTTACTTTTCCACTTTGTGCATATCATGGCGTCGTATTTTGGGGATTCTCGGCAAGGGAGGGAGCTGTATTCGGCCACTAAATGGCAAAGTCGTGCTTGCTTTA